GCAAACCAGTGGGTTCCAACAGTTCTCTTGATATCACCAAGGATACCAGTACCCCAAGGCTGGGCAGGAGCTAGGGCAACCTTTCCAGCGTTGGGATCAATCTCTTCATTGGTGGGAAGAGTGGGGCGAGAGCCACCTTCCTTGTACTCCTTGGCAGTTTTCATGTGCGAGTCAGGGTTGGCAATGGAGGAAGGGTGTTCGGTCTGGACGAGTTTCATGATGGAAGTTTGTCAGATAGAGAAGTGTTGGGCGAAATAGTAGTACTGGCAAGGTTCGTTGTAGTTCCTGTTGTGTTGCTTCGAGTTGTGAAAGAAACCAAAATTGTGAGTATGTGATCTGAAGAGTTGGTTTGGCAAGCAATGGAAGTGGTCGATCCAGTCAGACTACAGGATTGCGAAGAACACCGCTGCAACTTTTGGCTTGTTCCGGTACTAGCTAACGTACGATACATGGCTGCAGCGGAGTAATGCACAGGCTAACGTCATCCGCACTGTGCCGTAGCGAGGCTTCCGCCAACAACACAAAATCTACGAGAAAGGCAATTGAGGCGATGCGTGATACTATGTTGGCTCGAACGCGAAGGATTGATGCCTGGTCGCCTTCAGCTCATCCTGACGATGCATTGATCCACGAGAGCATTTATTTGCCGGTAGCCTTGGAGAGGTCTCGTCGTCGGACATGTCTGAGCGCAATGTTGTCTTTCTCTCCTTTGGATGGAGACAGCCTGTACCATTGTCTTTTGGTTCTCGGTGGTGTGACTTCTGCGTCAAGTAATCTCCTTGGTGGAACACCGCTTTAAATCATTCTTGAAGATAGGAAGAAGCTGGACGTCCTAGAAACGGATAGCGAACGAAACTGTTCACTTCTCTTCAAGCTGACGTTAACATTGCATTGATCCATAGAGTTCCGAAGGCTACTATTATTTTCTGACGTTGCAACTTTGCACGGGCTCCTCGTTTCCTTCTGACTTCTAACTTCAACGAAGGATTCTTATTACAGTATGGGAACACAGATGAGGGGCGGTCAGCGTTACACACATCAAGTTCGACATCGTGCTGACGACAGCTTTGCATCGTCCCGAAGTCCAAACAAAATCTTTGAGCAGATCTTGGCAGCTTTGGGTTTCACATCCTTTTCTCACAATTTCAATTTCCTCAAGGCAAACACCTCGAGAGAAATCAAGCAAGCCTTCAGCAAGCCTTTAGCTCCTCGTGTGCCTACCCCTTGTTCGCCTACCTCTCCATCTTCTTTGAAACAACTTCATCATGCCCAACAAACTTGTCCATACCGAGCACCCTGCCAACATTGTGAACCCTGACTCTCACATGAGGACTCCCGTCGAGTACAAGGCAGCTGATCATCCCGAGCGACCTACCCATCCCACCAATGAAGAGATTGATCCCAACGCTGGAAAGGTTGCCCTAGCTCCTGCCCAGCCTTGGGGTACTGGTATCCTTGGTGATATCAAGAGAACTGTTGGAACCCACTGGTTTGCCGAGATGACCAACTTCAACCAAAAGACAATTGCTGTCTCTTGTTTGATTTTCATCTCCATCATCCCTCCTACCTTGGCCTTCGGTGCCAGTTATGGAAAGATGTCCAACCAGAAGATGGGTGCCATTGAAACCATCCTTGCCACTTCCTGGATTGGGATTGCCTACAGTCTCATTGGTGGAATGCCCATGTGTATCATTGGGTCCACTGGGCCCGCCTTGGCTATCTCTACTGCTATCAAGAACATTGCTGAAGGTGCTGGCATTGAATATATCAACTGGAATGCCTGGATCTCCATTTGGCTTTTTGGTTACTGCTTTGCTGCTGGGTTCTTTGATTTGACCCGCTATGTCCGCTTGGCCACCCGTTTCACTGATGAAATCTTTGCCTTGCTCATTGTGGCCATCTTTGTGATGGACGCTGTTGGTGATCCTTTCAGTCCTTCTGGTATCCTTCGCTACCTTGACCCCAACCACAGGAGCCATGGTGAATACGAAGATGAGGTTGACTATGAATACTTGACTGTTGGTTTCTTGAGTGTTATCCTTGGTTTTGGGACCACCGCCCTTATCTTCTTCTTCCGAAGCTTCAAGTTCTCCTCCTTCTTCTGCAATGACATGATCCGAACTTCTGTCCATGACTTTGCTGTCACGATGAGTGTTGTCTTCTGGACTCTTATCAAGGAACTTCTCTTCCCTGAGGTGCAGACCGAAGGCCTCCAAGTTCCAGACAAGTTTGAGCCAAGCTTCCAGTGCTGTACTGAAGCCTGTGACACTTTCTGGCCTGACGAGTGCCCTGAACAAGAAGACTCTGTTGGTGCCCGCAGCTGGTTTGTTGACCTTGGTGGTGTGCCAAGCTGGGCTCCCTTTGCTGCTGCTGGCCCTGCCATCATGGCCTTCTTGCTTTGCTACCTTGACAATGGAATCACTTGGCACTTGATCAACCACAAGCACCACAAGCTCACCCATGGAGAAGCCTACAACTACGACCTCTGCTTGAATGGTCTCTTTAACTGTGTCAATGGATTGATGGGTCTTCCCTGGTTGGTTGCTACCACTGTTCCCTGCATTATCCACTTGAACTCCCTTGCCGAGAAGGATGCTCATGAGAATTCCTCAGTGTCCAGGAAACTCGTTTGACCATGTTCTTCTCTCATCTTTTCTTGGGATTGACTATGGCTGCCTTGAGTGTTCTGAAGCTCCTCCCTCTTCCTGTCCTTTATGGAGTGTTCCTCTTCATGGGTCTGTCTTCTTTGCCTGGTATTCAGTTCTGGAACCGTTTCCTCCTCTTCTTCAGCCACCAAGCCGTTACCCTGAGACTGTCTTCTTGAAGTACATGGAGAGCAAAAGAGTTCACATGTACACCGTCTTCCAAATGTGTTTCTTTGCTGGTATCTTTGTTGTGATGAATGTCAAGGCCATCTCCATTGCCTTCCCCTTCATGACTTTCTTGTGCATTCCCTCCCGTCTGTTCTTCCTGCCCAGGTTCTTTGCTGGATGGGAATTGACCTTGTTGGATGGTGAGGAAGATAGCATTGAAGAGTGGGTGCAGCTCAAGCAGGACTCTATTCGCTCATTCAACTTGCAACAAGACCAATCTGGCAAGTTTGACGATGACAGTGACAGTATGGGCACCTCAGAGCCGATGACTGCTGATGTTCCTGTTGCCAGTGTTGCTGAGGCCAGGTTCTTGTCCGACGACATTTCGGTCTAAGGATTGGGTAGCGTTTGTGCATGGTTGTAGGTCGGAAGTACCACAACAGCACCTGTGCGTTCTCATGGACTGCATTGCAGCCAGCTGCTAGTGACATCGCGCAAGTTTTGAGCAGCTCTCTGGATGGATTATGAGGCATCAACGTGTGAAGAGAGATCGTGAATGTGTACGTAAGCAGAAAATTAGGAAAAAACTATTTGAAACATGCCTGTGCTCGGTACTTTTTAAAAGAAAACCTGGTACCGGTAGTTTGCTCTGAAGGCAATGAGACTGTGCTCTGGAGAATGTTTGAATTGTACGGTACGAGGGCTCCGACGTTTTTGACCTGAACTCGTGGCCACATGGCATGACTAGCTAGCTCGCTGGCGCCAGAGCTGTCTTTCTCCGCTGCGAATGCTTCAAGCGAAAAGAGAGGCAAGTTTGATGTTGCGATATATGCGTCTATGCAAAATCAGAAAAGTCAATCAAGCCTTTCTTTGGCTGCCGGTCTCTGTACCCTGAGCGATGGGACTGCAATTTAGCTAAAAGATCGTTGAATGACAGCATGCAGCCATCAAGTACCGATACCTGGTAGTGACGGGTAGCGAAGGTGGTCTCTGATCGGCTACCCCATTGGTACGGTTCAACGATAGATGGCGGTACAAAGTTGAAGAATCGGGAAAGTCTGGCTATCATACTACTATTGCCCAGCAACCATGTCCGTGCGATCTGGGGAATTGATCTTGTCACAACGTGCCAGGAGAAAAAGTAAAAGTGAACGTGCATTTTCCCCTCTCATTCGTGCATGCCTTACGGTACCGGTAGGCACCGTCATCTTGCGAAACCTACGAAAGATCAAAATGGAGTTCGGAGGATGATGCCAAACCCAGCCTTCCCATCTCTGATTTGTGGCTGACAACAAATTGATGGCCCTTGAAGCTTTGAAGCCGATGTCAAAAGAAGTCTTTTACGGTCAATTGCCCAGCAACCAAAATATTGCTGAAAGCGTGGGAGGACACAAAGAACAAATGCTCTATAGCACTATCATTTCCGCAATGCTTTCTGATCAAGTTTCGACGACGTCTAGCCATGAGTCTATAGAGTCTGACGAAGAACCCGACGACGTTGGCCTGGACCAAGAGTTCGGTGGCGATGACGAAGAAGATTCGATGCTTCATGACGGGTTCTGGATAGAAACTGACAATGATGTTGAGAGCTACAATCGTTGGTTCTTACAGCAGCAGCAGTTGCGTCAAGAACGTGGCCGTGAAGAACAGATGTTGAAAGCTAAACAACGCAGGCAACGAATTGCTCAAGCCATATTGGGGGGTATCCATCTCACTACCAGCGAGGGGATGTCAAAAGAATCTGGCCAAGTGCCCGTATTCTCTGTACTGCGGAGCCCTGAGTGGGGAACGATTACCCTGAAGGTACCACTGGGCGGGGAAAGACGCGGCATCACTGAACGAAGTCGAACTCTGCTGGAACACGCAACTAGCACAAAGCAAGACCAAGAGAAAAGCATCTCCCAACAAAGCCGAGTGCACACGACCCCACTGAAGTCCTCAGTCGTGATGGCCCAAGGTGCATAAGCCACTTCAAAGAAGAAGATTAGAGCTGGTTATACTTTCATAGAGCGACCTTGATACTTTCATGCTGCGTGGAGATTGAGTAGATTTAAAAAACTTAGATCACATTACATGTCCAAGTCTTCTTGTGGTCAGCGTTCCAATCGTCAGTCCTTCAGCAGTTCTTATGCAGCCGAGAAGCGTTTTCCTGATTGACTGTCGAGTTCCCGTTGTAGGAAGACCAAATCATACCATCAATGCAGTGAAGTTGCGAAGCACTGTGAGATGTCTTTGCCGATACGATTGTATAGATGTGCCGGTTCATGAAAATATATATTATGCAGAAAAGAACCAAAGGCTTGATTCCTGCTAGCTACTATAAGGACATCACTTCAACGAGCTCCTTTTCCCTGGCCGTCATGTGGGGCATCATGACCCCAACCAATTTGCGAAGAACAAGGTCGTCCGACTTTTCAGTATTGCAGAAAGATACCTGATATGTCTCCGGACGAGAAGGGAAGGTTTTGGGAAGGCGGGTCCAATCTTGAGCATGCTTCATCTCCCCAAACTGATGCTTAAAGATGTCCACCGCAACTCCATTGATCTTCCATTCGAGCGAACCAATGACTGCGTCGTGCCCATCCAAATGATGAACACCCACCCCGAGCCATTCCAGCTTTGGTTCATGCAATGCAAAGTTGAGGTTACCGTTTGTGCACGAAGGGAGACGATACCCATACTTTTGATCTTCTCGGTTCTCGTTCGCTGGCGCCGTCTTTTGCAGTGTACCGGTACAGTTCGAGACTTCATCCATGTTTCCCACTGATAGTGTCGTCAATGTGGTGCTTGGCTGCCAAGGCGATAAGGACGCTACTCGGACATCATGCCTTAGCAAAAAGGCAAGCAGCTTCTTCGTTTCCGGTCCATATTTCATATCAGAAAGAAGCTGCTCTCTCCATGGAGACTCGGTTTCGATTGCAGGGTGGCGTGGAGACAGTTCCCGATTCAGCTCCTGGCAAGTTGCAATGTTAGTGTATATTGCATGTTTCAACATGTTGGATATGAGATGGGAACTACGAAATGCAGCGCAGAATGGAGAAACCGTGTCAGCGAGACAACCCGGACCCATTAAGCAAACGATCTTTATCCAAACTGTACCTGAGGCAACTTGGATTGTTTTCGCCATCAAAGACAAGCTGATAACTTTCGGTCACGGCAGAACCGATTGTGGACCCAACCGATATAGCTTGAATGTTCCACCCAATCTTTTTGTAACGCTCAAGCGCATTTCAGGCTGCATAAAGGGGTGTATCGATATCATCCTTATCGATAGGGGGTCTCTTTCCTTGATCATCGCTTTCGACTTGACCATCCCACAAAATCAGCATCAAAATTGAAGGTCAGGTCTATTTGCCCTTTCAAAGAGTGATTTGACGCGTACCATCCACATCTCCAAACCTAACGTTGCCGCATTAGTTAGGTTCCAGGGGTCGTTCACGAAGAACTCGTAAACCAACACATCTGCCTGGATCGGATCTACAAGGCTGTCTAGAGTCAATGCTACAGTAGGAAGGATGAAATGAGACTACGGAAAGTAGCACAATACATTGCAAGCCGTTCCTATAAACCCTTACCATTGAGGACACCTGTTGAAGACTCTTGCCCTCGATTCACCATTTCAAACTCCATCTTTGACTGTTTCTTGTCTGTTGCAAGCACAAACGAGTCACTTTCCATAGAATAAGTCAACATGTTGGTGAATCGATCAGCAAGTGGGTCACCGTTGTTGACCCCGCTGCAGTTTGGAGGCAGATGTGAAGTCGGGGAGCTGCCCAAGAAGGCTAGCTGCAAGGGGTCCTTCGACTGTTCCTCGTCTTTTGCCATGAATATGCTGGGAATGGAACAGGAGTCCCAATCCATGGGAAACCCCGATCTAAGACGGAATCAGTGGTCGTAATCTTGGTGTCGAAGGCAGCCTGGTTGGACATCAAGTCCAACGCCCTTTGGGCATACATTTTACGGGCCTGGAAATTGGTTTGAAGGTGATGGTCTTCAATCAAACTCAGCATATCAATATGGTTTTGTTTTAGCGATGTAATATCGGTGGCCATGTTGACGCCGATGAAGAATGCCAGGACTAGCACCAAATGCCCCCATTCTTTCCTTCCCCTCCTTCTTTCCGTCATGGTTCCAATCTCAGGACTGCCTTTTCAGTTAGAATGATGAGCTCGAACTACAGTAAGAAGAGAGAGAGGAAAAAGATGTAGGCCCACCAGAACGGAGATTCTCAAGAACTTTGCCAGAAACAGTATCTGGCAAAATTGTCAATCATTGGCACGAAATCCTACTAGTACGCTGCCGTACGGTACTGTACCGGTACCTCACCAGTGACTCAGCGATCACGAGTGCCACTTCCACCGGTACCGAGCCAGAAGTTGAAGACGCAGCTGCGGATCTGGGCACTAGCTAGTATCTTTTGGGCTCTTGCCGCTCTGGTTAGGTGTCGGCTAAGCCACAAGGTATTTTGCCCCGATGTCTATGTGGTTAGATAACAGGAACGCATAGACTTGAAATAATGCGTCTCCTAAGTTTATAATTAAGCGTTGGAATTATCGGAATTCTCACTCAGTATCGTGACCAGCTGTCGTTTTGCCATCACTCCCAGCCTCATCAGACGACTTGCTCTGGTCCACTCCTCCCTTGTCTTATGAATAAGTTGTGCAATTGTTTGCTTGTCTTCACAAACCCGGTCCGCACCGGGCAATCCTAAAATATACAGCTTTTGATACAAGAAAATGGATTGTCGATACTTGGTCGAGCAGCACCCCAAACCAGCCAACCAGCTGCGCCAGCAGCAACTGAAAGGACGTGGGTTGTCGTTGTTCTCAACTCCAATCCCCACAAAAGAACAGAATAGGCAGCCAGAGGGTCCAAAATGGCTAGCTAGTGAATTCTTGGGACATGTTCATGACCACAAATGGCTCGGAGCAGCAAGGACAAGCATTCTGAAAAGAGATCCAGGATGCGATGCACTCATGATGGAAGACGTGGTTGCAACGAGGGCTGCTGGACTCACAAACATCGTCACCATTAACAAAGTTCTTCTCACAGAGCTCGCACACAGAGTGGTGTGTACGGTTCCCCAGGTTCTTCTTCGATTTGATGGTTTCTGATGATCCCGTGAATGTGCTCAGACTGCTAAACATACGATCCAACTTTTTGGGGTGGGACCTGCTTCTTTTGTCACTGTTTTTGTTGCCAACATTGTTGTCGGAGTCTTCGCTGATGCTCTCCGAAACACTGATGTCGTCCTTGTTGCCAGTCTCAACATCAATTGGCACTCGTGTGGCTCCTGGAGGCAGTGAACACGACATGGAAGTCATCGATCCCAATGTGGCAGAGATGACGCCATCGTCCAGAATCATGTATTTCTGGGAACAGCAATCATTGGAAATAAGAAGAAGGACTTGCTGCATACTTCTAACTCGCGGAAAGATCTGCTCACCTTTATAACCAAACTGTTTCGGATATTTTCTTCCATTGCCTCTTCGTCCGCATTAACGTCGTCACTTGTGGGGGCTCCTGTGGTTGTACAGAGACCTGAAGGGCAGTGAAAGCATCGAAAACCGTTCATGTTAGCTACTTTCTAAAAGGACAAGGGTATCAACGCAGCATCCTGTTGGCTTGCAGGATAACTCACCCTTCATCTTGGAATGTCTCCTGGCTCTGCATTTCCTGCGCATCCACTCTTGCAAATAGGACAAGATAAAGACAGTAACGAGGAGACCTACGGCCGCAGAACCGCAGATCTTTCCAAATTTTTTCTGTTGTTCAAGCTTGGGATCCATTGTCAACTTGAGGGAGCAGAAGATAATAGAACTGATCAAGCAGATTGATAAGGTTTGTTGGTTACAGCCGAGCCACTTTGCCTCTCTCCTTCAGCTTGCTGCCGATCGTTACGTTGCTGACTTGTGGACCTTCGATTTTATAAGGCTTCATCTTGGAACATGAGTGTTCATTCATGTGCAAAATGTGACGTCTCAAGCACCATAGTACTCTATTCTTCATACTACGTAGGTTCCAACCAAAATTGTCCTCTCCAAGTGTCCTTTCGATGGAATTGTGTTAACAGAGCTGAATGATACTTAGAAGGATCTTCAACAAAATGGATTAAAGAAGTTTTACGCGAATAAAATCATGTACTCAATGTAGACAGTGTAGCACACAGATGTTAGAGAGCGGTTCTCGAGATCCGATCACCAAATTTAGAATTCTTCCAGGTTTCAATGGTGATGCTATTTTGGGGGAGGAATTTTCTCCAACAAGACCAAGCCACCTGAAGCTGTGAGTTCTCAGTTTTGGCTCTCTGAAAGATACCAGTCAGCACGCATTGGCGGACCTCCCGCTGCAGACTTTGATTGAAGCAACTTTTTCGGCCAGCAGAAACAAAAGATGAATGGAGCCAAATCTGGCTAGCTAGGATTTGCTTTTAACTGGGTTCTCCGTGCTCCAGGCAGCTGACCTGTTCTTCTCTGCTGGCCACTACAAGTACTGACGCTTTTGGCGCTGGGTGGTCCTGCAACAGTCGCAGTTTGATAAGTCGTCAATATATCATCGGTCAGCAAACTTTGAGTATCGGTTTTGTTCAAGCTTCTTTTCAAACCATTTCAACCCTTGCTGAATCGCGAGAGCTGAAGCTACATCATCAAGTGTTGAAAACACCAACCTGATTTTGCTGCAGAAGGATACGGATACCGGTACAACGATCAGTCAGGCTCCATTATTAATAGAAGGCAGGCTGTGCCGACCAGGACCATGGCGAACCAATAAACCGCCAGCTAGCCAGCGCTGCGGCTTTGGGCACAGCTAACTACTGGTACGGCACTATTCTTTGTTATTTGACTTTGTCATGGAACTCCAGCAACCCCACCAAACGGGTCGAAACCTCTTCGACCACATATTGTAGCCATTTCAACGTCTCAAATCCGAATTCGGGACAACATCCACGACTGGTACCGGCTGGCATCGTTTCCCCCTCCACACCATGTTCATGGGCACCACCCGTACCGGTACGCTGACAATGATACCGCTAACCACATAGAAAGGAGGTGCAAATCCGAAGTTCTCGAGAGGTGCGAAACGACATCAAAGATCCCTCCAGCACGTGTGGCGACGAGCTGGCTGGAAGCCTCTGTTGTCTCGCCTATTCTTTCGTATATCACCGAACGCAATGTCGGCTGTTGCTCTTGTCATCGGCGAAGACGTGGTGCCTGGTAGCTAGTACAGACAGGGCATGCATGATAAAAGCAGTTCGAAGGCTCCAATACACTACTAGATGGGAAGGATCGCCAGCCAAGCAGCATCGAATCGAATCACCAGCACTTTATTTAATTACAGTCGTATCGTTAAAGCAGACTTTAATACCCGTATTCGTCAACGAAGGAGCATCATCAGCAGCAGTGATACCGTAGGGGGTGGGCCTCTGTTGATGTGCGGTTCGTGGATTTTGCTTCTTCGAAGAGTGCCACTGTACCGGTACCGGTACGGTAACGTAGCTATCAGCTCTGCTGGGATGTAAGAGTATAACGGTAAAGATACGACCGTTGTTTCAAAGATACTGCACGATCACCAGCGAAGTGATGGAAGCTTGGATTGTGTTTGTGATTGCTGGTCATCAGCCATCAGCCATCTCCGAGGCAAAGCAGCATCATCAAAGACTTACACTTTTGGTCAGAACCATCTTGATTGAATGCTTGGCCGTGGACGTAACTCTCTCTTGTTTCTCCATTTGCTCTTGCTCTTTTTGGCTGCTGCTGTTTTAGTTCCCCTTGCATCTGCCAGTAGTGCGACTGCCAGTACCAATAATCCACAAACACAAACCTGTGACACCACCAATATGCCTCCTTTGGGTGAAGATGCTGCTGTTCCTGAGGATTTGCCTCGTTGGGAACTGAGCGAACGCTTTGGTTTTTCAGGGCCAACCGATCCAGCGCTGGACAAGTACGTGGAAGAAACGGCGACTCTATCCAAGGCGTTTCACGAGAAATACGAAGGAAAATTGAAGGACGTCTCGCTCAAACAAGTCATTTCCGAATACGAACAAATTTCCATTCGCCGCGGAACTGTGGGATCCTATCTCTCGTTGGAATACGACACTCAATTGGACAATGATGAAGTAAAGAAACGCAAGGATGCGTTGGGTCAGTTGCAGTCGCAAACGTACGGCGATCACCTCGAGTGGTTTAGTTTGGATTTGGCAGCCATGGAAGAAGCCGATTTGCAGGTGCAATACGAAAAGGACCCTTCACTGAAAGAGTACAAGGCGTACATTGACGAAGAGCGACGCTTCAAACCTCACAATTTGGCCAAAGAGTAGAACGTGCCTTGACGGTACGCAATCCTTGGTTTGGAGCCAGAATGACTGTCAGCTTTTATGACAAGGAACTCAGTTTGATGCGATTTGTCATTAAAGAAGGCGACGAACCAGTCAATATGGAAGTCTTGTTGAGCACATTGGGATCATCCAAAGATTCTGCCGTTCGCGCGACGTGTCTCAAGGCGTTGAATGAGGGATTGGGCGGAGCCATGGGTCGTGTCGCCGCTTTGAGTTTGAGCACCGTGTCGGGGTCCTGGCATATTGAAAACAAGGAACGATCCTACAAAAATCTACGCACACAAAGAAACTTGGGAAATAATTGCCCTGTAAGATTTTGATTATGGGATTGTTCAACACGATGTTATTGGAGGGTCAATTTTGGACGCAAAAGAAATACATCCTAACATTTTTGTCTTTGCTTGCTTGCTAACTAACTACGGTAGGACGAAGTTGTCGACAGTCTCCTTGTTGGAGTGCGGACCGCAGGAGTGCCGCTCTGCAAGCGCTACTATGCACTCAAAAAGAATATCCTCAAAAAGACACAAGGATTGGAAACGTTTCGTTGGTCCGATCGCAATGCACCAATCGATATCGAAGGAGGAAAGAAAGAAGATGAGAAAATTCCGTGGACGGACTGTGTCAAGATTGTGGAAAAGGGTGTAAGTGCTGCCTCTTTTTGATTCGTCATGTCATTTGCTGGATGATGTGTAATTTCCTCACTCTATTGTTCTTGCCATTGCTTGCGACCGTCTGCGCCAGTATCGCTCCTTTTCGCCTCGCATGGCGGAAATGTTCATGGGCTTTGTAAACGAAAAGAGGATTGATGTCCCCGCTTCCAATGGCAAAAAGGGAGGCGCTTATTGCAGTGCCGCAGTGCCTGGAATTGGACCATTTCAGCTCCTCAACTATGGTGGCACCAAGCGGGATGTCGCAACCACGGCTCATGAAAGTGGCCATGCGGTCCACGATGTCATGGCCTATCCAAAAGGATACCTTCAGTTCCATCCGCCTCTCACACTGGCCGAGACGGCATCCATCTTTGGAGAAATGATTGTCTTTCGGGACCTGCTCGAAATGGCAAAGTCAAAGGGAGAGCGACTTTCCTTGCTCATGTCCAAGATTGATGATATCCTCAACTCTGTTGTGCGACAATGCTCCTTTGATCGATTTGAAGAACTGGCTCATACGGCGCGACAAAACGGAGAACTCACCGTCGATGAGTTGGACAAGTTCTGGATGCAAACGGTGGAAGAGTACTACGGCAAACTGGGTGATGCAGATGCTCCCTTTGAGGCGTATGATGACATTACTCACTTGTGGGCGTATGTGCCGCACTTTCATCATGTCCCGTTCTATGTCTACTCGTACGCCTTTGCTGATTTGGTGGTGGGTACGCTCTACCACAGTTTCCAGACAACACCGGATGGATTTGAAGGACGTTTGTTGGATCTCCTCGCGGCAGGCGGTACCAAGGACTTTGCCGAAGCGTTGCAGCCATTTGGGTTGGATCCAAAATCCCCTTCGTTCTGGGAAGACGCAATCAAGGCACATCTTGGAGGGCTCATGGCCGAAGCAGAAGCCTTGGCCGCCGAATTGGGCTACAGTGCGACTGCTTAGTGTTGACACAAACATGTAGGTCTCCAGTATATTATTATGAAGCTGGTTAAGTTATTTAGTTTAGAACATCCAATGTAACAAAATCGTATAGACTTGCGGTGTCAAACAATGGCGACCTCACCATGTATTCCATCAATGCACACTCCAAGTGCACGCCTTCGTTACTGACTCGAACCATCCTTTGGCACCTCCGGCACAGACTCCGTGCTTGCTTCTGAAACATGTTTGTCATGTTCTATAAAGCGCCACAGGAAGGATGGCGTGATGGTATACAAAAGCGATCGGTGAATCCCAATTGCAGTAGCTTGTTGCACTGCATCATCCTTGACTGTCACCTTCACCAACTCTTGTGTTTGCGAATCCAGCATCTTCTTGACGCTATCCATATCCAGTCCCTTGAGCAAGAACTCAGCTGCCAAGTGCTGTAAGCTGGGATCTTGAAACACTACCGCCAACAAATCTAGAAGCGCCTTTTGTACTTCTGGTGTGTTGACGGCATGCACCACTAAATTGACCAAGTCTTTTTCCGTTTGTTCGTGTGTGACAAGCTTTTGGACCAGATCATTCAGGGTGCGAAGTGTCGAGGGGTTGTTGGCTACTGTTTGAATTGTCTCCTGAATACTTTGGCGTAATGAATCTTGTTCAAGTGTTCGTCGAGCCAAGTCCGCGACCTCCTCGCTGGTGCTTTGGTAAAACATGGACCGATTCTCCCACACAACAACCATTGCAACGGCAATACCCAGGATGTAGTACTTGTAGTCCCGGACGATAGGAGTGCTCTGTTTAACAAGTCTTTCCAAGTTCTCAACCAAAGGTCGAAGCGCTGGGTTCTTTTGCACGGCATCCCTGGCTTTCGTCAGTGACGCCTTCAGCGCCGAAATCTTGCTCATGTGATTCTCGATTTCTGTTAGTCGAGTTTGCACTTGCGCAGTTTGGGAGCTCACAGACCGAGTCAAAGCTTGTTGTTCCTTGATCAAGGCTTGCAATGCCTTTACCTCTTGCAGCACATCGTCCAAATCCCGGGGCTGGAGACTAGACGAACTGCCCGCTATGTCAGCACCACGTTTGCCTTGGTCGGAGGTGATCCTCCGGCGCACGGATGCACAACATCTTGGAGGAATCTTAGCCCGCCACTGTTTGGCGGCTCTCGAGGGCATCGACAACATGGTGGACCAAGGGGGCGCCAAGCCTATCCGAGAAGCTTATGGGTTCCCAATGACCGCGGGTTTGCCTGTGCTGCTTTGTTGGAGCTCATGGTGCGCGTTGCTCACCGACGTGCGCGGTTCGAAGCAAAGCTGGTCCGACGCCTCACTTGCAAGCTTGTTTGGCACTAGCTTGCTCGTAGCTACTAGCTAGAGTGGCGGACGACAAAATAAGGAACTTCAGCGGCTCAAACTTTGCAAGTTGCAACAACCATGGTGCGCGCCGTGCCTGTCCAGCTACGGTCGTACGAGCCATCAGAGCTATTAATACCAGGTACCGTACCGTTCGGCGGTACTAGTACCTGGTTGCCACTACCAGACCCGGCGGTGTGGTACCTGATATCATAGTGGACCGCGGCCAGGAGCAACTGTGGGCATGGAACCAGAGAAGACAATGACAGCGTCCAAACGCATAGTTGACACTAAAATAATACAATCTACGTTCTCAAGTTTGTTGGTTGTAGCCCGTTGGTTTGGGCTGTTCATCTCCGCTCCTGTTCTGGTCCAAAAATGAACTGCCTCAAAGCAGAAACATTGATACAAAACAAACCATTCCAAAGGGTCAGGTATACATCATTCTTCTAGCACCTTCTGATATCGGAAACTGTACAATCTGTAGAATACCGTAGGTCTCAGGATAGACTTGGTCCGCATAAGCCTCCGCAAGCAAAAAAATCGGAGCTTTCCTCTAGGATTGTATCCTCGGCATCGATGACAAAGTCATTAATGTTGAGTTGATCATCATCATCATCGTCGTCCCCAGCGACTGACACTCGTCGTGCTTGCGAGACGGCCCCCACGTCTCGAGACGCAGTAGAACCAAATCCACACGTCGCAGCATCGAAAGCGCCACAGCCACCACAGTTGGTACATTCGCAGTCAGTGGATCTGATGCAACCACAGCCTCCACACCGAACTGGCTCGGGGAAAAGACAGATGAAAGATTCTATCAGAAAACTGATAACCTCAACGTCCCAGTTGCATTTTACGTCATCTTGGCAGCCTCCAGGGCTACAAGTTCTGTTGTCATGGTATGCCATCAGCGCACGTCTTTCCAATCTACTTCGTACCGCCCTTTGGCCTCCTGCCAGACCACTATCAAAAAATGTAACCACTACAGGGGCGATTTCTGTTGTCCTTTCTCACGACAAGCTGATGGCAGCGGCGTTTGATTTGTATCACTTGTCCAACTTCAAAACATTTTGTCTCCTTGAGAGAGGCGTGGCAGGCACCTATTTGCCCCGCTGCAAATAAATGAATGTATGAGGTTGAAAGAGACAAAACGGAGCCAACTGTTAGCGAGAAAGGGGTGGAAGGCAGAAATCTGATTGGTCGATGAGTACCGAAGAACACTAAATACGTCATGAAGTAATTCAAATTACTTAACGTACCATTTATAAAGATTACAGAGTAAATGTGCTATAAAGTTCGAAATTTCGTTGTTGTTTTCGGAGAGGAAGAAGATTCCGTTCGAGGATCGACAATGACAACACCACCGGCAAGGCCACCGGCAAGACCACCGGAGAGCCACTCGACAGTCATTATCTCGGCCAAAAAGCGAGTAGCAGCAGCAGCAATGAATCCACCAACAACAACAGCAGCAGCTACCACTCACAATGGAGGAATGGGCTGCCAAAGTCAACAGAGGAACTCGCAACAGAAGAGAGCCTACCAACTGGCTGCCAACAACAACAACAACCGATCCAAGAGAGCCAGAGGAGAAGGACCCCAAACAACACTGGAAGGAGAGGTAGCAGAAGTCTTTGATCCACTCAAGCAGTGTATCATCTGTAAGGCCAGACATCTTGGTCTCAGAGTACCAAAGAGATCACACCACGTTCTCTGTATTAAGAATACAGTAACAAGAGGAGCAGGAGACTTGAATGAGCTGACAATGGAAACCCTCAGAGAGAGCAGAAGACTCACAAGGCATTTCAGTGCTCCTCTTCCACTGAATGAGAGAGGAAGCTGGAGGCATTCAACCAGAGAAAATGGAGAAGCATTCTTTGCTGCTAGAACAAACACAGCCAAACCAAATCAGAGCCGGCAACAGAAGACATCCACAAACAAGACAACTCCAGCAGCTCTTTGTCAAAAGGTAACCACTCTTGTAAATGATACTGCCTTTGTGGAAAAACACAAGAAGAAAGGAGCACCACTGGCAATGCTAGCTATGGCAGAAGCAGTGTCAGAATCCATTACCAGGACAAGGAATCCAGAAGTCTTTAGGCAACACTTTGAAGGACTCACCATGACAGTTCCCTCCACAGAGGACCAATTCAAGTCACCACACTATCACTCCATTGTTGGCCAGAAACTCCTCCTCGTGGACTGGAATCGATGTGGAATTACAGTACCTTGTCCTGATGGAAGATGCTCTGGCAAGCTCAAGAATGACAGAACAAACTGGTCACACAACAAGACCTTGTTCCCTATCTTCGGCATCACTGGTCCTCCTTCTTGGTGTATGGTGATGTCCATGGTTTGTGGAAGCTGCAACAGAAGATTCGATGCCAACTCTGCAGAAGTGCTGGTCTCGATCCCAGACCATGTATCATTGCTCTATCCAGTACAATCCAAGTATGCTCTACCTAACAAGACTTGTCACTTGGATCGAACAGCAACAGAAGTATTCGATACTATCATGTTAACCTATGGCAATGGAGAACTCTGCAGCCGGCTCATCTACAATGCAATCAACAGAGAGTTCATTAGGTCCATGACATCATACTTCTCATACTGGCAAGGAAGCGACACTGATCCTGATCCCTTTCTTCAAAAGGATGGCACTTACATTAGACACTATCCTCCCCTTGGCGACACCATCCGTGACATCTATGATGTTGCTTCTGCTTCCAACAGGAATCCGTGGAGGATCAGTGACAACCAAAGGCACACACAAGAGATCCAAAGTGTCAAGTGCAACAAAGGAATCTTCTGCCAAGACCATACCTTCCAGGTTGTCAAGAACTACAGCAAGAGTCTTGGTGCTGCTGCTGTTTGGGATGCTGCTACTGAGACTGGAGAGATTGCTTCTGCAGTTTTGGTTCCCACCACCAAGACCATCCACTTCTCCCATGCAGCTATGCAGCTGGCAAGGAGGAGCCACTTCAACCCAGCTGCCATGTACAGCGACACCTGGCCCCACAAGGATGACTACTGGGAGATACTCTTTCCAGGAATCGAGGGAAGGCTTGGCCTGTTTCATTATGAGAAGAGGATACTGTCAACTTTGAGAAAGGGACACATTGATCACTATCAAGCAATGTCAGACCTGATGGATTGCTTGTATGTTTACTCACCTGATGACTATGAGAAGCTGCTGCATGCTCTGAAACATGGCCTCTTGTCCACCGATGGCAAGCACTACTCCATGGCAGAGATCTCCGACATGCAAGCCACCAAGGTCTTCAGAGAGAGGTACTCCAAATACCTAAGGAAGCAGATGAGGTCACCAGAGACTATGAGACAGAGACTACAGCAGTGGTTCTGCAGGTACAAGGTGACAGCCAGTGATGGTAGCCAGCCAGGACAGGGGCGACTGGATCCAGTCAAGAACTATACCTTGTTTACTCAAGACACCAAGCCAGCAGTAGAGAACTGCATTGAGAAAGCCATTCACTTGGCTGATCCACTCGCGCTGGAAGATATGTATGACACAATCCAACCATCTCCCAACTCCAAACACAAGCTTCCAGAGTACCTATCAAGGAGAGGAGAGTCAAAGTTAGAGGCATTCCATGACAAGTTTGCCCACTTTGGCAATGGTGGAATGAGGAGGAGCCTTGCTGATGCACTCAACCTTGCTGGCACTGCTAGATACAACCTCAAGATTCGCCACAAGAGAGCCTTCCTGTCAAGAATCAGTGAGGCAGAAAGGAGGTCAATTCCAGCTGGATGGGAGAAGGTTGTTCCCTACTGGAACCACTCTGAGCTTGCTTACCTGAATGAAATGGCAGAGGCAGTTGGTCTCGATGCACCATTTCCAAATGCAGAGCCATTGCCAGAGGATACTGGAGAGAGGTTCTTCTCAGAGTTCATTGTTGGATTCAAACCACACAGGCAGAAGTATGCACCCAATGATTGTTGTTTGTGTGTGGCTTGCACTGGAGCACCACCGAGTCCACCACCAATCGAGGCACCAAGTCCACCACAAATCAATCCACCACCAGCAATCCCTCCACCTCCTCCAACAGAACCACCAGCAATCCGTCCACCACAGCCGCCTCCACCACCAACCCAACAAGCTGCTGTGGCACAAACAAGAAATGCTTATGTTGGTAATTTGATTCTATACCAGCAATACCAGCAACAACAACAAATTCAAATGATGCAACTTGCCATGCACATGCGGCAATTTCAACCGATACTGCCATCTCCTTTCCAGCAACCTCTACCGAATGGATGCTGTCAGAGATACTGCCAATGGTTGACCAACAGGAGAGGAAGACCACCTCATGATCATAATTGCCAATCAAGATTGACTGGGTATGGGAAGTAGCAACAAGCAATCAATGTTTAGATCCACCAAATTCATTTCTAATTTAGCCAGTAACTTACATATTGCCAATGAAATCATCAACCATAGTCTCACTCATCATCTGAATCAATGCCAATGAAATCAATAACCATAGTCTCACTCATCAAAGCCAATTCCTGGAAGGAAATCTTCTTCTTGTGGTCATACCAGCGGCAACAATAGAAATGCCAAGCATCCATATAAAACTGTCCTTCAAGGGAGGACACCTCATAGCTCTCACTGATCCTTTCCCTCACTAACCAATAGATGCACTCAATCAAGATGTCCTTCCTTTCACAGGGATGTGGCGACTCCAGCATTTCAGAGAGGGTGGAGATAACAGCTCTGTACCATTTTGGACTTTTCTGAAGGCCTGGACCAAGCATGTAATCCATGATGTCGGTCATGGCAGGAGGAAGTGGCTTGCATGCTCCTTGCAATATCAACTCCTCAAGAACTGTCACTTCCATGCTGGTTGTGCGCAAACAGAAGTTATCCTCTTCATCACTGTTGTACCCACAAATGACATACTTGCAGGTGAATCCTTGCCTTGTAACCCTCAGCTCATTGAATGGGTATCTGTTGACACTTTGCAGCCACTGGGAGAAGGCGGGAGAAGTACTTGGGATCCTCATGGTCGAGTTGTTCTTGTTATTGTTGTAGCGGCCGATCTCCGATCGGTTGTTGTTTCGATCGATTTGCGTCGAGCGATCTCCGATCTGGTCGAGAGCGATCGAACGACTCTTCAGCCATAGTAACAACAGTAGCAGCAGACAAGATAACAGTGTTAGCAATCATTAGCTATCGCAAACAACAAGAACCACCATTGTCCCTCATTGTCGGAAACAGTAACAACAACATTCTTACCTGGTGTACTAGGAGCGAGGTCGCTGTTGTGCTGTTGCTGTGGTGTCGAAATTTCGAATTGTGGGAGGGTTTGGTGTCAGCGAGGGATTGGGAAAGAGCCAGCCAGAAGTTATCCGTTGATTTGATTCAAATGGATGGAGCCAATGTGAGACCTCCGAGAAGATGCCTTTTATGACGTATTTATTGTTCTTCGGACGTCTCACCTATGGGGGAAATACCGGTCATTGACTTTTCCCCTCTCTTTGGTGCTTTTGTGTGTGTCCGATTTGAACGAAATGACTCGATCTTTGCCCTGCCTGCTCTCCAAGTGGGAATCCGGAACCTCAGTCAATAACCCTCTCCCTTTCTTTTTTCTTTTCCCTCCCCCGCGCTGCCGCCTAACCCCCCCATAAAGTCCATGTTGGAACCTAACTGAGTAAAGGCAACAGTCAGCGGTGGTAAATGACTGGTACCCGGTACTCTGCTCAGCACCAGTACTATTTTAAAATACTGTACCTGGTATTACAGTAGTGTGTAAAAACACGCTCGGGAGCACCTTTTGTATCCCACGCGTTGAACTGCCAAAGAGCACGTGACCCGAGGAAAAATTGTCACGCTGCTGTCATCTTTTTTTTAAAAGAGAGACCCAAGCAGGCTGACCCAGACCGCCTGCAACACGCAGCCCAGCACGGAGAACAAGAAGGCGAGCCTCCCAGCGGCGATCAACCCGGGCCCAGACTGAGTCGAGTCTGGGCCCTCACGCCCTCACGAGGAAGCCATTGATGCTGACAAGTTCTAGGCGACAGCTGGCTGCTCGGAACTACAGATCTAGATTAAAAGCTAATTGCTCGGACCTTTTATCTTATTCCATCAGCGCCCCGGCAAGCAAAAGCCGAAGTGTAATGATTTCATCCTCCAGCGATGCCACAGTCCCCAACAGGGCCGCGTTGGCTTGAACTAGCTGGGCGTTGGCGGCGGCAAGCGACGCATTCTCTTTCTGTAGTTCTTTACGGGAGGCCTTTGGCTTTCGTTCTCTGGCAGCTCCCTTGACGCCGCAGTGCTTTGCGACCATTCCAGGCAGCCTATCGTGGTATTCGGAAATGAGAAAGTGGAGTGGATCGAGGTCAACTTCAGCGTCCTGGGACATCCTGCCCAGCACCGCCAGCATTTGAACCCACTGCTCGTCAGTAGCTCGCTCTGGGTCGAACTTCCAAAGGTTATGGCGACTGAGTTGCCTGTCGGAGGGGCAAGGCAAGCCGCTAACGTCCAACGAGATTTTGGTGATATCGCTCCGTTGAAGTCGAACCTCCTCGGAGAGTAGATCATGAATCATATCAGCGCCAACAAAGTCCTTCGTCAAGCACACGTCGATATCCCGAGGGTGAGCATCAGCGCCGCATCGGAACTCCAAACTGAACAGCTTTCGGCAAATGTTGGCTTTGTCGTTGAGATCATGGAGGAAACTACCGTTGTCGGCTTCTGTGAAGGGTGGAACATAAAAGTTGTATCGATAATGGGCTAGGCCTTTGGCTTGGTTGACGCAGTGTACAACAAGTTCCTCCATTTTGGAAAAGCGAGGTCGAAATCCAACTAGGCGCACAACAGGGCTCCGCAGATGAGCTGCCAAACGAGAAGTCTTTTTGCTGAGGGCTTGCGAAGGCCCTCCATGAGAAATAATGAGCTCGCTCAAGGATGCGCTGTTCCTGTAAATCGCCGCCCGGATGACAGGATCCCATTTGCTGACTCGTGGGGATTGAGCTCGTTCCGATGGTTGTGACGAGCCTCCCTCTTGGCAGTCAAATGAACGCAGTGAGTTCCGCTTGGACTTGGTAATGGCATTGGCCCACTTTTGGAACGCAGCCTGGTCTCCCTCTAGACTACCGGCCATTGCAAAGTAGGACACTCGCTTGTGGCTCTCAAAGAAAGCAGCGAGTGCTTCTACTTGGAGGTGGGTTCGTTTCGCGCTGCTCTTGGGTTGTTTTGCTTCCACTCGCAGAGCCTCCAGATCGCGAAGTTGCCCCAACAAAGCAAATAATTTCGTCGCTGCCGATTTCTTAGCTGGTCCCTTCAAGGTCAGCTTCACCCCTGCAATACGATCGAGTAGGCCTTGTTCAATAAAACCTTCCAGCAAAGTAATATCCCTGTTGAGAGAGAGCTGCTTGGAAGCCACGATCTTGATGGCAAGTATTAACGGATCTCCGTGCTCTCCGGACGAAAAGGAGAGACATTTAAACCGACGCGCCTCGTCCTTCACGAATTTTTTTGCCTGGATGTATCCGCCGATGGAGGTTAGTTGTGGGATAGCCATGATCGATACGCGTGTTCTAAGGGTTTGAAGAAAGATTGTCAATGCGGTTGGGGTTGTGGGGGAGGGAGGAGAGAGCAACCACACGAGACCACCGACCAGGCAAGAAGCACGACTGGGCAATCCTTGCTAGCTTGGAGCTTGTCGTGGTTCACAATGGTTTTACGTAACGGGTACCAGCAGGGTGCGGAAACGGGACTTACATCTTTAAAAACAAGGATTCTGCGTGAAACTAGTACTAGTTTCACGCACTGTTTCACGCATGTGAAACTACTACTAGTTTCACGCAAGCCTGCGTGAAACTAGTCATAGTTTCACGCAAGCCTGCGTGAAACTAGTCATAGTTTCACGCATATCTGCGTGAAACTATATTGAGTCGTGCGATCTATCGATAGTATTCACGAGTAAATCTTGCGTGAAACTAGCCGTTTTTCTGCGTGAAACTATGACTAGTTTCACGCAGGTCTGCGTGAAACTATGACTAGTTTCGCGCAGGCTTGCCTGAAACTAGCTATTTTCGAACTAGTTTCACGCAGGCTTGCGTGAAACTAGCCGTTAGTTTCACGCAGGGTCCGTTAATAGCAAACCGAGTTTCATCCGGTTTCCGCACCCTCCAGGTACCGTTACCGGGACCTGAATTTTCAGATAAAATGTACAATTTCAGAAAGCTTCACATGGGCAAAGAAGTTGGTCCTGTCAAAAGTCCAAGATGTCGGGGATGGGCTGTGTCCATTGAACAACGTCAGACAGGGAGTTCGTCAGGCTGCCAGCCTCGTTTTCATCACTGTGAGCGGCGCCGCGAACACCGTTCACTCGACACTAGTAGTTCTACAAGAAAATAATAGTCTTGGGGACTACAGAGCATTAGTCTCTACTGAAAAGCAGTGCTGTTTGAGATGCAAACCCAGGAAGGATCAAAGTGTAAGTGCTTCATCAGTGGCAAGCAGCTGGGAGTCCCTGACCATTAGGGACTAAAAAGCACTGGGACCATGGGTCTGTGCAAACTTGGCTGCGTTTACTACATACTAGTACATGTACATGAAAGTTATTATGTCGATAAAATTACTGTCTGTCCTTCGTAGGATCGTTCAGTCAAGGCAAAAGCACTGGCTTCATCGCGACAGTCAAAGTGGAGGGTTTGACTGGGCGGATCTGGTTTGACTTGATCAGATTGTGGTTTCACTGTGTGGCAGACAGTACCCTTGCAATCGAATAGGCCAAACGAGATTCTGCACAGAAACCCTCCATGCAGCTTTTCGAGGTGACGCTCCCTTCTTTTTTCGGAACCGGTACTGAACCGACTGGTCGTGTTGGTGTTGAGGTTCACCTCTGCGGTACCACTTTTGGATCTACAGCACAATGATAGTCAAAGCTGGCACCTATTTTCGGCACAGGCAGGCCAGCACACAACAACAACAAGTTGAATGAGTCGCAATGCTGTGCCGATCATGTAAGAGAGGTAGTTCATGATATTTAAGTTAATGGTGTTTCTACTGTTTCGTACGGCCACGAGATGCATCTTCTATATAGAACCGCCCCTTTCAAGTAGTCGACAAAGTTAGCAACCGATTTGTTCCCTTTCTTGTACTCGATATCGAGCGTTGTACAGGCGTCAACTTCGTCCGTATTGTGCTTTTTTGCGAACGCTCGAATTCCAGCCACCACTTGCTTTCTTCTTGAGTAGTTCTTGGCTGAGATGTGCTTCCTCCACTTGGTGCCATACTGTTTGTTGCGTCCTTCCACTCCACCGAGTGGATCAGGGAAGTTGCCATCCATGCGACCAGTCCATTCATCCAACAGATCGTTCAGGTTGTCATTGCAACTGTCTTCAGCTGAAATTGATTTCGTTGGGTATTGAAGACGGGTGTTGTGAGTAGGTCGTCCTCTGATGGCACTGATGACATCTTCTTGCCGGGAGACGAGATTGCCAGCCCATGCACCAAGTTGAAGCGAATTACCGACTGGCTCTTCACTTGCACCAGCCGGATCCTGCATAGGGAGGTCATCTAATTTCCCTACTCTGTGGTGGGTCATTAAATTACTCATCCGTAGGCTGGTTCTTTCTTCGGTTTCTTTGTTTAGGTTCGATGATTCTTCGGGTCTTGGAAGATCGCAACTTTCCATTCTAACAAGTCGAGTACCTAAGTTGTTTGTGGTTGCAGATGTGTGGGGCGGTGTTCTGGATTTCGTGTATCTGACGCAGAGCTTCGCTATATACATTGAGCAACCAACTGTGTATCATTGTAGTGGCACCCTATCGATTACCTTGATATCATGGGCTGTGTGTCACAAGGAGGGTGGCGATTAAGCGGTGGTGTACGCAAGTTGTTACTACTTTTGCCGTTTGTTGATGAGGGTTCTTTGTGCTATCATGCCCTCTTCATTTTCTCCTTGAACTAACTTCCGGGGTGAAGCGTAGTGAGGGTGCATGAATAATGCAGTGGATGTACTGCACGTGGAGCACTGACAAAGAGCATTAGTCTGTCTTGAACACGTAGTTCATGTCCGTAAAAAGAGGATGCTCTTCTCTTTCAGGATGAAGTACAAGCATCGCAGCAGCATCTTGGAGAAAGATACTATTAAGGTCTTTGAAAAATCGAAGTAGGTGGAGCGCGGTTGGGTTCTTGCCTTTCTGTGAGCTTGGAAGGGCTGCCACAGCTTCATAAGTGGTGTATACCCACTTTCCGATTGGAGTAAGAGCAAGAAGCTCTGCCGGTGGCATTACATCTGTCCGTGGGTTGAAATAACAGGCCTTCTTTCCACCGTATCCAGCTCTCGCGATATGGCATTTGCAATGCTCGGTAGTGGTTGTTAAAGGTGCCTTGCCGGAAGACATGTCGTTAGCCGATAATTCGTGACTCTCATAACGTCGCTTGGTCATGGCTTGTGGCCTGGAGCTTAGTAGTAGCGCCAAGTTTCTGCTCTGCCTCAGAATAGCGAATGGAGAAGACTTGCGTGCTCTGATGAAGGGTCCAATGCGTCGCGTCCGTCATTTTTGCATGTTCCCCATGAGGTCGTGAATCTTGTCTTTCCATATATGTTCGTTGCCTGGCTGATATAAGGCAGTGTGATGGTTATGAAGATGGAGGGTAGAATAGATTCGAATGTACAACCTTTGTGCTGGGTTCTCTTTCTCCAATGTTCAGATCGTCTCTAGAACATACTGCAAATAGCGTCACTGAATATAGCGAGAGTGCACGATCTGATAATCGCAGATGAGAGAGACTACAAAGAGAGCACGCGATTGAGTGTGGAGTGGACCAATATCTCCACGTGCTTCCTTATGCCAGTTGTTCGCGCTCATCCGTGCATGTCTCTCATCACTTGCAGAGTCCGGTCGTTGCCAACTCGACCGCTCCTTAGCTGGAATCTTCGAATCTTTAGTCGATCCATGTAAGGTGTGCTTGTGTGACGTCTGTGGCTCCTCATTTGCGTTTTGGACGCGGTCCACGCATAAGGTAACTCTCGCATGACCCGCTCTGTGCTGTCTCTGCGGTGGCTCTGAAAATGGCGATGTGATTAGCTCAAGGTGTCATGAGCTGGCGCCATGCCTTATTCATCAGGGAGTTTGTGTTCCTATGGATGTGCAGATTACGATGGTCGGAGACGGCTTCAGCGCTAAACTGTTCATTCGCAGAGACTTGATTGTGAGATATTGCCCACAGTGTGACGCTCGCTGGTTCCATTGTGGTTGGCTCTCTCAACGGGTATGCTCAGGGGCGGCGGGGGGATTCGCCATCAACTTTTTCCTTGTAGTTTGCTTTATCTTGTAGTGGTTTCCTCATGCGAATCTCAATGTTGGAAGCGCAGATGGGTTTTTTTCCTTCCTTCTTCGTTGTTGTGTTTTTCGGAGCGATGCGCATATCTTAACGAGCTGCTAGTTTGGCTGTGCGATGAGATGAGTCTATCCGATTAAGAAACTTGACCACAGGGGAGGCTGAGTTTTGATGGCGAATTTCGCCATCATCAATGGCGCTCTCGCTGGGCACTATACGCTGAACAGCTCATGTGGAAGACGCTTCTGCTGTGGTATCTCTATGGCGGTTGCCAAGCTAGCAGCGTCTATCGGTATGCGTATCTTCGATTGACTCTCGCTCGCGCGCTTAGTCGAGCTTGTGATGCCCAGGTGGTACAACTACAGGATGTCCGAGCAGGCGTATTCTCTGTGGACTTCTCCTTCTCGCGTCGGCAGTTTGGCTCTTGTTGTGTGCCAGGGCTTCGTGGAGTCTCGCGCGCGGTGCCAATACGGTCTGGCAGGCTTCTTGGTGGTCGAGATGGGTGATAGTACGGAGCTCGCTGGTGGAGACTGCCGCAACGTCGTCGTCGGTGGCGGACTCGCTACGACGGGCGAACCGGCGCAGGGCTTTACTAGGCCTACTGGTGTGAAGTGGAGGGGTGTGTTCTTCGGTGATTTTGCCTTCGCGCGACTTTGTGTTGTTGGTTCTACTGTGTGCGCAGAGTACAGCGCTGTCCGTGATCAGCGATGGCGTGTGGAGAATTGGGGGTACCATGAAAGCTGATTATGGGGGCGCATGCGGGTTTGGGTCTTATTTTTGTTCAGATTCTAAGCGCCAGCGATCTAGGCCATTGAGTTAGTGCTTCTCGCCGGTGTCTGTCAGATTTTATACGGTGGGTTACGATGCGATTGGCGTGTGGGGGTGGATTGCTACGGAAGAGTGTATTTCGAAGCGCGTTGGGCCTCTCGAATTGTTTTGGTGTGCTCGTAGTCGCTGCTCGTTTGAGTCAGGGACGTAACTGTGGTCATAGCGTCCGTGCTCGCGGGCTAGCAGCTGTATGATTTAGTGAACTATGGAACTCTAGTGTTAATTAAACAGCCGACATGGTCAGCCTCTTGCACCACGGAGTACGTGCGAGCTAAGGGATCCGGTCTCTGGATCCGGTCTCCGCTGCGGGCCACTGACGCGTAGCTAGAGGCAGGTCGTTCGGTACCCACGGTAGTGGGAAGAATGAATCTGGCTTTATTTCCATCGGGTAGACTGTCATGTCACGCGCCAGAGTTCTGGCTGCTCATCTGACTGCCGGGTGCGCCGCTGATCTTCCGAGCTTAGTCAGGTCTTTGACTCGCCGCCTTCTCCTCTGTGGTCAAGGCTCTCGAAGCTGCCTCACCCGTCGCGCCCTACTC